GAGGATAGATATATATATATATATATATATATATGCGAACAAGCCTGAATGGTCCCCAGGACATATGCAACTGAAAACTCACACCCCAGAAGTGACTCGAACCCATACTCCCAGAAGCAACGCATCTGGTATGTACAAGACGCCTTAATCCACTTGACCATCACGACCGGACATAATGAGGTGATAGCCGAGGCTATATGAACCACCCCACCGCCGGCACTCGGATAGTTATCTTGGGCATAGCATTTTACCAAATCACCTCATTCTTTGGGGCACACGTGAGGAACACAAATGCGAACAAGCCTGAATGGTCCCCAGGACATATGCAACTGAAAACTCACACCCCAGAAGTGACTCGAACCCATACTCCCAGAAGCAACGCATCTGGTATGTACAAGACGCCTTAATCCACTTGACCATCACGACCGGACATAATGAGGTGATAGCCGAGGCTATATGAACCACCCCACCGCCGGCACTCGGATAGTTATCTTGGGCATAGCATTTTACCAAATCACCTCATTCTTTGGGGCACACGTGAGGAACACAAATGCGAACAAGCCTGAATGGTCCCCAGGACATATGCAACTGAAAACTCACACCCCAGAAGTGACTCGAACCCATACTCCCAGAAGCAACGCATCTGGTATGTACAAGACGCCTTAATCCACTTGACCATCACGACCGGACATAATGAGGTGATAGCCGAGGCTATATGAACCACCCCACCGCCGGCACTCGGATAGTTATCTTGGGCATAGCATTTTACCAAATCACCTCATTCTTTGGGGCACACGTGAGGAACACAAATGCGAACAAGCCTGAATGGTCCCCAGGACATATGCAACTGAAAACTCACACCCCAGAAGTGACTCGAACCCATACTCCCAGAAGCAACGCATCTGGTATGTACAAGACGCCTTAATCCACTTGACCATCACGACCGGACATAATGAGGTGATAGCCGAGGCTATATGAACCACCCCACCGCCGGCACTCGGATAGTTATCTTGGGCATAGCATTTTACCAAATCACCTCATTCTTTGGGGCACACGTGAGGAACACAAATGCGAACAAGCCTGAATGGTCCCCAGGACATATGCAACTGAAAACTCACACCCCAGAAGTGACTCGAACCCATACTCCCAGAAGCAACGCATCTGGTATGTACAAGACGCCTTAATCCACTTGACCATCACGACCGGACATAATGAGGTGATAGCCGAGGCTATATGAACCACCCCACCGCCGGCACTCGGATAGTTATCTTGGGCATAGCATTTTACCAAATCACCTCATTCTTTGGGGCACACGTGAGGAACACAAATGCGAACAAGCCTGAATGGTCCCCAGGACATATGCAACTGAAAACTCACACCCCAGAAGTGACTCGAACCCATACTCCCAGAAGCAACGCATCTGGTATGTACAAGACGCCTTAATCCACTTGACCATCACGACCGGACATAATGAGGTGATAGCCGAGGCTATATGAACCACCCCACCGCCGGCACTCGGATAGTTATCTTGGGCATAGCATTTTACCAAATCACCTCATTCTTTGGGGCACACGTGAGGAACACAAATGCGAACAAGCCTGAATGGTCCCCAGGACATATGCAACTGAAAACTCACACCCCAGAAGTGACTCGAACCCATACTCCCAGAAGCAACGCATCTGGTATGTACAAGACGCCTTAATCCTGGGGACCATTCAGGCTTGTTCGCATTTGTGTTCCTCACGTGTGCCCCAAAGAATGAGGTGATTTGGTAAAATGCTATGCCCAAGATAACTATCCGAGTGCCGGCGGTGGGGTGGTTCATATAGCCTCGGCTATCACCTCATTATGTCCGGTCGTGATGGTCAAGTGGATTAAGGCGTCTTGTACATACCAGATGCGTTGCTTCTGGGAGTATGGGTTCGAGTCACTTCTGGGGTGTGAGTTTTCAGTTGCATATGTCCTGGGGACCATTCAGGCTTGTTCGCATTTGTGTTCCTCACGTGTGCCCCAAAGAATGAGGTGATTTGGTAAAATGCTATGCCCAAGATAACTATCCGAGTGCCGGCGGTGGGGTGGTTCATATAGCCTCGGCTATCACCTCATTATGTCCGGTCGTGATGGTCAAGTGGATTAAGGCGTCTTGTACATACCAGATGCGTTGCTTCTGGGAGTATGGGTTCGAGTCACTTCTGGGGTGTGAGTTTTCAGTTGCATATGTCCTGGGGACCATTCAGGCTTGTTCGCATTTGTGTTCCTCACGTGTGCCCCAAAGAATGAGGTGATTTGGTAAAATGCTATGCCCAAGATAACTATCCGAGTGCCGGCGGTGGGGTGGTTCATATAGCCTCGGCTATCACCTCATTATGTCCGGTCGTGATGGTCAAGTGGATTAAGGCGTCTTGTACATACCAGATGCGTTGCTTCTGGGAGTATGGGTTCGAGTCACTTCTGGGGTGTGAGTTTTCAGTTGCATATGTCCTGGGGACCATTCAGGCTTGTTCGCATTTGTGTTCCTCACGTGTGCCCCAAAGAATGAGGTGATTTGGTAAAATGCTATGCCCAAGATAACTATCCGAGTGCCGGCGGTGGGGTGGTTCATATAGCCTCGGCTATCACCTCATTATGTCCGGTCGTGATGGTCAAGTGGATTAAGGCGTCTTGTACATACCAGATGCGTTGCTTCTGGGAGTATGGGTTCGAGTCACTTCTGGGGTGTGAGTTTTCAGTTGCATATGTCCTGGGGACCATTCAGGCTTGTTCGCATTTGTGTTCCTCACGTGTGCCCCAAAGAATGAGGTGATTTGGTAAAATGCTATGCCCAAGATAACTATCCGAGTGCCGGCGGTGGGGTGGTTCATATAGCCTCGGCTATCACCTCATTATGTCCGGTCGTGATGGTCAAGTGGATTAAGGCGTCTTGTACATACCAGATGCGTTGCTTCTGGGAGTATGGGTTCGAGTCACTTCTGGGGTGTGAGTTTTCAGTTGCATATGTCCTGGGGACCATTCAGGCTTGTTCGCATTTGTGTTCCTCACGTGTGCCCCAAAGAATGAGGTGATTTGGTAAAATGCTATGCCCAAGATAACTATCCGAGTGCCGGCGGTGGGGTGGTTCATATAGCCTCGGCTATCACCTCATTATGTCCGGTCGTGATGGTCAAGTGGATTAAGGCGTCTTGTACATACCAGATGCGTTGCTTCTGGGAGTATGGGTTCGAGTCACTTCTGGGGTGTGAGTTTTCAGTTGCATATGTCCTGGGGACCATTCAGGCTTGTTCGCATTTGTGTTCCTCACGTGTGCCCCAAAGAATGAGGTGATTTGGTAAAATGCTATGCCCAAGATAACTATCCGAGTGCCGGCGGTGGGGTGGTTCATATAGCCTCGGCTATCACCTCATTATGTCCGGTCGTGATGGTCAAGTGGATTAAGGCGTCTTGTACATACCAGATGCGTTGCTTCTGGGAGTATGGGTTCGAGTCACTTCTGGGGTGTGAGTTTTCAGTTTGATATATATATATATATATATATATATATATATATATATATATATATATATATATATATATATATATATATATATATATATATGTCGTACCTAGCAGCCAGAACGCACTTCTCAGCCTACTATGCAAGGCCCGATTTGCCTAATAAGCCAAGTTTTCATGAATTAATTGTTTTTCGACTACCTAACCTACCTAACCTAACCTAACTTTTTCTGCTACCTAACCTAACCTAACCTAGAAAGATAGGTTAGGTTAGGTTAGGTAGGGTTGGTTAGGTTTAGTCATATATCTACGATAATTTTAACTCCAATAAAAAAAATTGATCTCATATATAATGAAATGGGTAGCTTTATCATTTCATAAGAAAAAAATTAGAGAAAATATATTAATTCAGGAAAACTTGGCTTATTAGGCAAATCGGGCCTTGCATAGTAGGCTGAGAAGTGCGTTCTGGCTACTAGGTACGACATATATATATATATATATATATATATATATATATATATATATATATATATATATATATATATATATATATATATATGTATATATATATATATGTATATAAATATATGTATATATATGTATATATATGTATATATATATGTATATATATAATATATATTATTGGTTATACATATTAGCGGCCTCGCATGAGTCTATAAGCCATCTACAGTTCCACTATTATTATGTTCCTAAAAGTAATCTTTAAATGTAAAGACTGATGACTTTCACAATAAAATAACAACTACATGAAATATATACTAGAAAATATTGAAATCGTATGTTGGGATTGAACCTGCGTCCCTGGACTCCCCGAGCAACTGGACCATGATTTTTTTTTTGTGGGTAGCAGGAGCTCCGTGTGGTGGAAGTCCCCCTACCCCCCGGAGCCTCAGGTGTAACCACCCTTTATGTTATGAACACGTATTTGCACATTATTTAATGTACAATCGATATAATTTTTTGACAAATTTTCTGATATCAGTGCGTAATGTTTTATCATACGAAAAGAAAAACAATTGATTTTAATTTTTAGAGCGTTTTGAAGGTCTAGCTGATATTGGAATTACTAGAAGGTTCACCGGTCCCCCTTTGGCTCAATGCAAATGCATTGGTGGCGACCCTGTTCCGACCATGTTGAGCACATATCCGACAGCAACCACAGTGGAGAATTGAGCAAGGTTAGCCAAAGTGTCAGACCTCGAATAGACAGACATTCCAATATAAATATATAGAAGTTTGTATTGCGTTTGTGAATTTGAATAAATGATTATTATTTTAGCTAGTCTTGCAAAATTTCAGGCTTAGAAACAATATCAGTTTACACTCTTATAATGATGAGCAAATTAAAAACAAAATAGTCAAATTCCTTCGACTTTTTTGTACAGCTATGTTTATTTTTGTGTATTTAATCTTTATTCTTATGAATAGACTTATATTAAACTTGATTTAAATTAACTTTGAGAGTAGTAAATGAGAGAAGGAGTTACCGTGAATGTGTGGGAGTGTTGCTGGTACTTCCTCTTCCTGGTAATGGTATTCTCCTCTCTCTTCCCCTTCTGGTAATGGTATTCTCCTTTCTCTTCCTCTTCTGGTATTCTCCTTTCTCTTCCCCTTCTGGTATTCTGGGTTTACTTCAGTTGACTGGAATTTTCTTTTATTTCTGTATTCGTGTCTTCGTTAATTCTATTTGATTTGTTCGTCTCCTGTTCTCTTCAATACCCTTCCCCCCCCCCCCCCATGTCATCTTGAATCACTACTCACTTTTTCATGGTTTTCGTAAAATATTTTTTTTCTAGCATCTTCGCTATATTTTTCCTTGTCATTTTTTAGTTATTATTTTTGTTGTGCTTGCTCTAGATTTATTTTATGTACAATTCTTTGTGCATTATTCCCCTTTACTTACATTTCTTACTTCCCCTTTTTTTGTGGCAATACCCATGATCTTAATCCTCTATCAATTTGCATACAAGTTACTTGCACACTGAGCACGTGTTGGTCAGCAAGGTTGAGAGACTCAAGAATATATCACTGATCACTCGGACGAATTGGAGGAGAAGATGGTTATCGAAGAGTAGCGCATGGGGGCAGTACGATATACTTCATCTAAGAAGAACAGACACGGGCAGCGACTCCTTTGGCTTGACACACAATCTGCAAGAACGAACATGGGGCATTTAAATCGCAGATGTTATCATTGGCCAAGATGTCAAAGCATCTGGAAAAGTGAGTGACTTCTGGCCACTACAATGTTTACTAGGCCATTTAAAGGGACAAATTTAATTCTGCCAGGGAAGGAACATAGGTATAAGTGTTGTAAATAAATTGAAAGGGGGTAGGAAAGCTGTGGTAAACTAGGGATAGGTAATTGTATAAGTGTCTTTTGGTAAGGAGAAAGGAAGGCACAGTAGAATGAATAGGTTGGAGAGAAAGAGAGAGAGAGAGAGAGAGAGAGAGAGGTGAGTCAGAGAGTGAGAGACAGAGAGACAGAGATTGAGGAGTAGAGATAAGGCAGAACTCAAGAGTGACAATGTACATGAAAACGAAAATAATAATGAGCAGTAAAAGACGATTTCAAATAACAAAATATAATTATACCATAAAAGTGAATTTTCAAGCAAAATTATCAATCTGAAAATAATATTTCATTAAAGAAAGAAGGAAAAGCAGATGCGTAGTTCTACTAGGATGGAAAAATTTATTAATTATATAAAGACCATGTATGCATTAGGTCAAAAGATTAATTTCTTACAGGTAATGCTAAAAAAAAATGGATCTAGATGGAAAACAAATCACCGATTACAGACTTTTTTACGAAAATCACTGTGGATCCTGAGCAGCCCATTTTGGACACCTATCACACGAAAATTACCCAGGAAAATTTGGTTAGGATAGGCCCAAGCGTCAAGAGAGAACGAGAGGGAGGAAGAGAGAGTAGGACAATCATAGGCGGGTCGGGGTCGGCCCCCACGACCCAACCTTTTAGTGCTTTTGTTTACCCAAACACCAGGTCGACCTACGCTCCGAACACCTCTTCCATACTACATATAAAATACAAATTTATCTCTTATTTCCAAATACATTCGGTTTAGAATAGGTTCAGATGGGATAGGATAGGATAGGATGGGTGGGTTAGGCTAGGTTTGGTTGGGTGAGGTTGGACTAGGTTCAATTTGGGAGATAGGAAGAAGGGGACAGGGTAGCCATGATACCTGGCGACGAGGGAGTGTTGTCATGGCTACTGGTGACGGCATGACAAGGCAAGGGGAGAGGTAGGGAGGGGGAGGGGAGAGAAGAGAGGAAATGGGAAGAATCAGATGAAAAGGAATTGGGAAGTTAGGGAAAGTAAAACGTGAGAAGACCATTTAACTTGGAAGAAGGATAAAGATGAGGAGAGATGAGGGGGAATAAATAGGGAGAGAGGGATGAGAGGGGAAGAGTAGTGGGTGTGGGAGAGTAGTGGATATGGGAGAGGAGTGGGTGGGGAGAGAATAGCCGCGCGTGGCTGGAACGGAGAGTGAAGATGGGGTGACAGGTAGAGGAAGAGGGAGAGAGAGTGAAAGATTGATGATGGGATGGGATGAGACGGCGAAAGAAACGTGGGATGGAAGGAGATAGACAGGGAGGGAATTGGGAAGAGAGGAAGGGAATCAAACGAGTGACTTCCTAGTAACCAAATTAATGAACTTGCCCCCCTTATAACATCTATATAAAATAATTTCAGCTAAAGGTATAATATAAAATACTTCTCTAATTAATAGAGACAAAGTACTTTCTCGATTACAACTTATTTTATGGTCATTATCAGTTAATTAGCTGCTGATGGTTCAAAGTCAGTTACAAGGTACGGATTATTTTGAGGATTTGAAGCGGTTCTGTCTACCTTAAAGCGGTTCTGTCTACCTTGAAGCGGTTCTGTCTACCTTGGAGCATAAGGTCCTTGCAACCCATCTACACCAATCAGGTCCAATATTTATTAGTTCGAGGAAGCGTCAATATTGCGGTGCTTTTTAATTTCACATAAACACCAGGATTTGTACGTTAGTGGATATCATCACAACTCCGATGGCTTTGCTCATTATTTTTATTAGCAGTAATAGAAGTCATTGTATTAATATGTGTAATAGTTCACGATATCCAAAATTTCATTGTTTTTTTAGGAACTATCCCTGTCTGTCTTTTTGTAGAATTACTTATTTAAGGTCTTTGAAATATATTTTAAGTCTGAACTTGATACACGTGATTTTGGTTCTTATATTAGAGTAATTCTTCCCTTGGTGTTGCAACCCTTCCCTTAGTGTTGCAACCCTTCTCTTAGTGTTGCAACCCTTCCCTTAGTGTTGCAACCCTTCTCTTAGTGTTGCAACCCTTCCCTTAGTGTTGCAACTCTTCCCTTTAGTGTTGCAACCCTTCCCTTAGTGTTGCAACCCTTCCCTTTAGTGTTGCAACCCTTCCCTTTAGTGTTGCAACCCTTCCCTTTAGTGTTGCAACCCTTCCCTTAGTGTTGCAACCCTTCCCTTTAGTGTTGCAACCCTTCTCTTAGTGCTGCAACCCTTCTCTTAGTGTTGCAACCCTTCCCTTTAGTGTTGCAACCCTTCCCTTTAGTGTTGCAACCCTTCTCTTAGTGTTGCAACCCTTCCCTTTAGTGTTGCAACCCTTCCCTTTAGTGTTGCAACCCTTCTCTTAGTGTTGCAACCCTTCCCTTAGTGTTGCAACCCTTCTCTTAGTGTTGCAACCCTTCCCTCCCCTTTCCAACCTCGTTTCCCTGTTCGACCTCTTCCTCTCCCCCTCTCTAATGACAATGACCTTCATTCTTCTTATCACCTGTCCGATAACTAACTGCTCGTATCTCCATCACACTCTCTATCCCTTTCCCTAAATTTTAGCTAATTTCCTATAGTGGTCTCCAAGCCGCTGCCGCCGAGGTATCATAAAAGAGCAAAGAACGGCGCTCTAAGACGCAACGGTCTATTTCGGTGAATATTTAAACGCTATTGAAAGTTATTTTACTGACGTAATTTGAAATTTGCTTCGCTGCCAAGACTCCACCCCCATCCCACCCCCATCCCACCTCCTATCACCCATTCCCTTTCCCCTCCCATGGGGGAAAGAAGGAGAGTGAGTTTTAAGACGTTACGATCTATTTTGGTGCATATATGAACGCGATTTGGACGTTATTTCTCCCTCCCCCGCCTTAATTTGAATTTTGGCGGGCATCCCGCGCGGCCCAACTGAAAACCATCGATCAGCGGGTTGAAATATGGACACTGATATCGGCATTCTGTCCGCCTGCCCCCACACCAAAGATTAAAGGTCCAAGTTTCACTATGGTGGGCAGAAAAGGCTTTGAAAGATGTACAGTAAACAGCCTCTAACCTTTCTTGGAGATAAGGGGGAAAATTGAAGCATAAGAAGGACTTTTGTATATATATATATATATATATATATATATATATATATATATATATATATATATATATATATATATATATATATATATATATATATATATATACATATATAAAATTGAGCGAAACGGCTGGCGAATTAACGAACACAAACCAATGTTTTGAGGATAGGCTCATCATTCCGATTGTAACATATTGAACAGGGATCGAACCCTTCAATGATGTTCTCATATACTTACCACGGCATTGTAATTTCCTTTGTGTGTGTCGTCGTGTAATCATCGACTGGATTTATGTTTGAGAGGCAAGTATAATATCTTGAGTTGACATTGAAGCCCTTGAGGCCTTTTGAGGTAAAGTAATCCCCCCTTTGAGGTAAAGTAATCCCTCTTTGAGATAAAGTAATCCCCCTTTGAGGTAAAGTAATCCCCATTTTGAGGTAAAGTAATCCCCATTTTGAGGTAAAGTAATCCCCCTTTTGAGGTAAGGTAATCCTCCTTTTAGGTAAAGTAATCCCCTTTTGATGTAAAATAATCCCCCTTTTGAGGTAAAGTAATCCCCCCTTTGAGGTAAAGTAATCCCCCTTTTGAGGTAAAGTAGTCCCCCTTTGAGGTAAAGTAATCCCCATTTGAAGTAATCCCCCTTTGAGGTGAAGTAATCCCCATTTGAGGTAAAGTAATCCTGTCATCATTCGGTGGATGAGGTGATCCTTCACTCCTGCCAGTACTTGTTGATAATGGATGAGATAACCAGTTCGCCACGACCACCAATGATAGCTGACCCGAGATATCCAGATTTTAACTATAATGTTGAGTGCTATGAGGGTCGAAATAGCCTTAGCTGCTCTATATTTTTGAGATATATTACCATTGCCTCAATAAACTACCACGAACCTGAAATAATGGTTGATATCAGTTCTTCATAAATCACTCAATTAGTCATTGAACCTGAATTATGTTTCGGTCAGCAACGCAATATTTCACTGCATATAGTCCAACTGTAGAGCAGTTGGACGATAATGATATATTTTACATATATCATATGTTAGTGATTGGGTGTGTTAATAGCACAATAGATCACTGTACGATAGACAATACAATAGATCACAGTTGTACGATAGCAGCATCATATGTCACCTGTAAGAGCATTTGTACGGGAGGGAGGGACACCATAGATAACCGTCGCGCAATGGTACGATAACAAGACCATTGATCACGGTCGTGAATCGAGACGGCGAACAGTAGACTGAAAACAACAGGTGCCGCTGCCTAGTATACCTTCTCTACCCTATCTAGTATACTTACCCTACCTAGTATACCTACTCTTCACACGTCCAGCAGGTCATTTCTGAGCCTGCCTGGCCTGCCTTCACGGTACCAATCAGAGTAATAACCTTCAACTTCACAATATGCAACCCCTGCATGGCACGCTTTGCATCCTGAGCGTTTCTCTAATTATCGTGGAACCACGGCAATTTAGCGTCCTCGGATGGCTTTGATATAACGAGATTTTATGCAACATTGAATTCCCAATTTATGAATGGTGCAATGATGCAAATGAACAAACGCCATGGCCCTCGCAAGAGGGATATTAAGGACATGAAGGGGATGACTCTTACGTATTTCTTAAGGGCTTGCGGGTTAGTTTGACGAGGCGCCATCTGAAGGTAGTTACGTCAGCCTAGTTGCCGCAGATGTCACGCTCATAGAGAAAAATACTGGGCTTTGTATCGTTTGGAAACAGCTA